TTGGAGACACGGACATAAGTTCAATGATTATATGGACAATTAACTCATAAAAAGGTATTTCATGAATTCTAAATTTTTTTCAACTATAAATTTAGCCCCGCATGCTATTCAATATTTAGGCCATTTTTCATGTGCCAATCCAATCGTGTCTTGTTTATCCTGTATTTCAAATACATTTTTTAAAATTCATCATTTTTTTAATTAATCTTTATGCGTACATTCTCCTAATAAAAAATTTTTACATATTACTTTAAAATCTTTCTATACATTTAAGCACAAAGTCTTTGGAAAAAGAAAAAAAATAATTTTTACAAAGATTAGTCTGAAAGCTAAAGCTCAAATAGGGCCTTGGTATATATTGAAGAGAACAAGCTTGTTCTACTCATAATATGTGTTGTCTTTAGTCAAACGAAAGTGATAAAAGTCAACTTTCATATACTTTGAGTTTGATTGAAGTAAAAAGCAGCTCAAATGCTTATGAAATCAATGTGATAGGCAAGTTGAAGACTTGCAATCTATGTTTTATTGATGTGCAATCAATGGATCTTCAAGTTTAAGATTAGTTTTCAACGAATTGTATCTATCATGCAATAGTGTTGCCCGTGTGTATTTTATCTATACTAAATAAAAATAAATAATTATTCAATCAACATGTCAAATCAACCTAATAATACTGTCAAATAGTATAGGAGAATTTAATTTTTTTAACACGATCTATTTTACTAATATGAAAAAAAAAATTAAAATAATTCATGTTTTCATTGGAGATGCTCTAAATTTTTTGTTTAGCACTATACGAAAAAAATATTTACTTTATGCATTTTATATATCAATATCTTCAATTTTTCATTAAACATGTTTGAAATATTATGCATGTAAAAATGTGATCCTTCAAAATTGGAGGGTATAAATTGAAGTATACTATAGTATAAAGTCGTAAAGTCAATATAAGAAAAGCAAACCAAATGTATGGTGCTTATAATTGTGATATGACAATTCAAATAAAATATTACGTCACAACATGACAATGTTTTTATAAAAGTACTTCTTTCTATATATATATATATTCCATTTCAACGCTCTTCAAAAAATTTCTAGGATTGTCAATTTGAATCGTTGGCTCGAACGATCCATGGTTCAGTTTGTAGCTTGAAAAAATTGAGCCGAGGCTTGGGTCAAGCCTCATTTTGGGGCATTGGCATGAACCCGAGTTGACCGGTGTGGCTCATCGAGTTAGATGGGCCAGCTCATGTCAAGGACCAAAAATAACACATGATGAGCTGGCATATTTGAAAAAGAAATTAAAAAAGGGCAGCTCAACTTGCCTGTTAAAAAAAGTGAGGTAGTTACACAGGTAGCTATGCTTGCTTCTAAAACAGTTAGCTACCAGCTACCTTTTATTTTAAAGTTTAAATTTTAGAACTCTAAATTTATTTATTTAAAAAAAATTGTTCGCGAAATATTTTATTCATATACAATTTTAATTTCAACTACATTGATTGTAGTCGATTCCAAGCCCAAAAAAGGAGGAGGAATGTAAATTTTATTTAATCTACAATTTGTATAAATTGCACACATTTTAAATTGTTTAGAATTATTTTTTTTGATTGTCACGAATTAAAGAAAAATAAGTCAGTTCGGCTCTACTTAACTAGGAAGTAAACTTATACAAACAGACCAGTTGCAATGTGAAGAATCATGAATTTGATCAAGGATGAGATTTACAATAAGCAAAAATATTATTTTATATACATAACCAGAAGACCAAAGTGTATATGCAGAATAGTTATAGAGCCAAACTACAAGTAATGTTTGGTTGCATAACTAATGCATTAATAGTCTGTTGAGAACGGAACCTTTTCAGGTAATGATATATTCGAATCGTGTTCTATTAAGCATATTGATTTAGCAAATGGAGTTAAAGATGTGCTTACATCACTGCTTACATGTTGATCCTTTGCTGTTGCTAAAGATGCATGCACAATGAAGATGACATTGTACTTGTATTTTTCTCCTTTATTCCGCTTCACAACTTTTATGTTGAAAAACATATCATCATTTGTTGATTGATTCAAGAAAGTTTGGTTTGTCATACTAAAGAGGAATGTTAGATGTAACAATATAAATGGACATACTAAAGTATAATAATTTAAACACATGTTCGATGTGGATACCAATTATAACATGGCAAAATATAATATTGGCATGATGCGTAATAAAATTCTCTAAACAAAAATTGGAAGTACTTTGTTCTCAATTAAATTAATTAGAGACGTTTAACAAATAATAGTGTTAAACTATTTATCGACATCTCAACTAATACTTATTAAAATATTGAGATCTATAATCACTAGCATTAACAAGACAAGTCCTGATTATATAATCTGAAAATTAAGTTCATAATTTAAAATTTGAGTAGTAATTTTACAAATTTCAGATTTCGAACACCATGTAATCATCTAGTATATGTATCCAATTTATTAGATACAAATCATATTTAGATGATCAACGTAAATGATGATGGGCTCTATATAACATTCTAATTAATTTTTAGAAATAAAGGGAATTCAATCTCTATTTTAGCTAGTGATGTTTAATGATCAATTGCTGATAAAAAGAACGAATGAGATATAGGTATTTATTGGATTGAAGAATATTCCGATTTTTCATTGAATATCTATTTTTAATTTTTAATTTCACATTAATATTAATCCAGTGATAATCTAATTGATCAGGTCAAACAATAAAGTAATATTGAACTTCTAGTTTAATATAAGATATAATTCAATAATTTAATTTTGAAGAATAAAATTAAAATTTATATAATCATAAATCATTCAAATTCTCATGGCATTAGTTACATGTTTTCCTTCATGGATAAACATGAATTTAAAATGATATATTCTTAAAAAAATTGCTATTTCAAGAGTACATTATCGTTAGTTATTGCTTATTTAAAAGCAATATGTTAATATTTTTCTGAAATTCTGAAAATTATAATTCGTGCTCTTCAAGAGCAAGAAATTAATATTTTTGTTTGAATTTAATAATATAGAATATTAGTTTCCTTTAAAATTATAATCCAGTATTGAATTGTTTAATTTGTATTTCTTCAGTAACACAATGAGATATATATTATTCGGGTATTTGATATTTCGAGAGCACGATATATTTTATTATTACTTTTTCAAAAGCAATAAATCAATGTTAGTATTGAAAATAATATTACGCTTTTTATGAACTGTAAACATATTATTATTTAGAATAATAAATTATGTAAGAATTTACTCTTTAAGAGTAAAAACATAATTTATGTTAAATTATATTTAAATATATTATTCAGGAGTCAGTAAAATTTAACTAGAACATTAATATATAAATATGTATGCATGAATAGACTCATAAAGAAATTGAGTAATTTAATTTGTACTTTTACATAGAAATAGATCAATATTGAAATCATAATATCATACTCTTCTAGAGCAATTAATATTCTTTTGCAATATTAATAATGGTGTGTTATTTTAGGAGCAACAACGAATTATTATTTAAAAACACGAACTCTTCAAAAGTATGTTTTCTAGTAGAATGTAAATATTTGCAGAGTTGTGCTTCTTCAGAAGCAATTGTACTCTTTTAGAATATTAATAGTGTTGTGTTATTTTAGGAGCACTAACAAATTATTTGTAATAGAAATATATCAGAGTACTAAATTTATAAACTGTAATATATATTTTAAAAAATATAAACGTGATAATCAATTGAACGATAAACAAGAAACAAACAATTAAATACATCACGTACAATTTTTGATGAAAACAATAATCAGCATTGTTTTTATTATTGAGCAAGAATTATAAAATCAATTACCCGTTGCATGAGTATCAATTTTTGATTTGCCTATTGCATTAAACCCAGCTAGAAGGTTCCACGACGTTATATTTCAACATTCGATGCTGCAAAATACTCTTTTATTTCTGGGAAATCCATTTGTAAATTGGATAACCTATAAGCAAAAGTCTAGCCACAAAAACGAGATTCGGAGAAAATAATTCATTTTGCAGGGCAAGTTTCATGTAATGAGCTCATCATGCTGATAATATATTATAAAATTAAAGGAGAAAAAGAAAATAAGGGAAAAAATAGAGAGTCAAAACCCAAGTATATATTATTAAGAACCAATGTCTTATATTTATAGGGTTCAAAATAAGAGTTACAATTGGAATAAAATAGATTTTCTAAATTAGAAAAAACTTATCTATTTATTATGATAATATTATATAATTATCAATAATTATATCATTATTTTACAATATTTTAAAATTTTGAAGGACGTCAAACAGGGGCAAATTTAGAAATAAGGGTGTGTTCGATAGCACACTCTTTTCCATGAAAAATGGAAAATCAATACCATTTTCTAAATTTTATATTGTTTGATAGGTGAAATCTTCCATGGAAAATGAATTCCATCTTTCTTGATTACATCAGCATTTTCTTGAATTCCAATTCTCACCAAAATGGTAAGAATTGAAATCCCGATTATTGTAACATTTTTTTAATTTTTTTTTGAGCAATGGAAATAAGTTTTAAGAATTATTGTAAAAAAAAATATTTCCTTTTAACCAACAATTTTCATGTAAAACAAAATCAAATGAACACAAAAACATAAATGATTTTCTTGATTTTTTTGGTAATGAAAACAAATTTCATATCAATATCAGTAAATTTTATCCCTTTAATTGACAATTTTCATATAAAACAAATTCAAACGAACATAAAAAAATAATTTTATTTCAACATTTTCTATATAAAAAATTATACCAATCAAACACAATAATTTATAATTCTCAAAAAAATAATTTTTAGACAGTTGAATTTTTTGAATTTCGTTTTCAATTCAATTCCATATTTACAATCAAATGGAACCTAAATATTCTCTATTTCACCCACCAGCAGGCAGCAACTAAAAGCGTGTGGCTTTAATTAATAATTACCATTGTCAGCAAAAAGAAATTCAAAAAAATTCGTTGCCTTCTCATATTCCTATTTATATTGGGTAAAAAGATACAAATAAATAGATACAAAACATCTGACCGCGGATTTCTCGGCTCCTGTTTCTCGAGAATCATCTATCTTTTCATAAAATATAGGTACTTTCTTTTTTATTTAAAATTTTCATTTTTTTTTCTCTTTTATATACTTTAATTCTTGTTTAATCGTGTAATCTGTAATGGGATTTTCTCTGTTCGATGAACGAATTTAAATTTTGGTGATTGTTTGGAGACAAATAATCTTGATGTATTTTTTATGCGCACAAGCGAATTATTCATTGCTTGATTTTAAAGAAATTGGAATTTTTCATGAATTGGGTATTTAGTTTTTGATTCTGCGATCATATTCTGTTGTGTTTTTTTAGTTGATAATTGATTTTGCTGCTTGATTATTGGGAGAAAGTTTCATTCTTTACTGTTAAAAGTTCTAGAATGAAATACCCACGCACCATACAAACATGTACATTCTTTTGGTTTTGATTTCATATTGATAGCAATTTCTATTTATTTCATCCAGGAATTAAATTTTGGGATTTCCAATTATGTATTATTCTTTCTGTTTTGCAGATGAATATATAACTTTAAGTTCTACTTCCTAAGAAATTTTTATCTGTTAAAGCGAGAGGGTGCTGGTTCGGGAAGCTATTTGAACTTCTGCGAGCTTGGGATCCTCTCTCATTATTGTTCGACTATCTCGGTTCAGTACGTTATTATTTTCAAAGTCTCTGGGATTGAGTTCGAGAATCGTGGAGATCACTGGGGAGAAAAAGGAATTTTGAGGGGTTAAAGTTGATTCAAGCTGGTAATTATGGGTTCTTTTTGTTGCTGTTTGAGGAATGAATATGACGAGTTTGGTAATCCGAACATCTCAATTTATAGGAACTGTATGTGCCTTCAATGCTTCCTGCAGAACTTCTTGCGTATGGTATGCTTCAATATATTTTTTGTCTATTAATATTAGGTTAAATTTAGCATTAAGATTCAATTTTTATTCAGCATTAAGACTTTTATGCATCCTTGTGCACTATAAGATCTATATGTTATGTGTTTTTTTAGGCATATATTGTGCATTCATGCATTTTTTATTAGGTTGCCCAAGTTCCCATATTAGATAAAGGAATATGAGGGCTGGCCATTTTTGAGTTGCGCAACAAAATAGAGGTGTGGGATCTCTCATTGTAAAACTTCAATGAAAAATCTATAGTGGTCAGTGGATGCAAGTCTCACATTGAGGGTGAATCACTATAAATCCGTTTGTTCTTTTTTGTTTCTGATTTCTTTCTCATTTATTTAGGGATTAAGATTAATCGATAACATTATTGACCCTTTCACGAATGATGATAAATGGACTACGGTAATTTGACTATAGAATATTATTGTTGTGTCCTGCAGTATACATCACTGTTTCATAGAGGGGTAGAACAAGTCATTCCTTCATCCACTCAAGGGACGGCAACTTTAAGTTCTGCGTCCCTTGATAACTCGCTAGCTGATATGTATCGCTCTCCTCCAAGACCTCTGCCATATGATGCAGATCCAAGGTATTTCCGCTTGCAGCGTGATGGACTGGTCTCTAGAAGGGAGAAAGGCTCAACTCATTCACATGAGGAAACCGAACCTCTTCGAAGGAGTGAAGTAGATGAAGATTCTGAATCCTTTACTAATACGAAGAAATGGAACAAATTTGAATGTGAAGAAGGATCAGAAGAATATGATCCTAAATCACCAGTAAAGCTTTCAACGGCTAAAACAACAACAGGATATGCTCATATTTACACTTCTTCTGAAGATGAAGATGTCTGCCCGACATGTCTTGAAGGTAATGATATGTAATTAGTTTTACTTATAGTTTCTTTTAGCAACCATCATGACAGTCTCTCATACTTTTATGTATAAAATATTGGAAGCTGCAGTATTACTCGAGTAATTATCAGATCAAGATTACTTTTGAGTATTGAATATGACAATATCTTAAGGTGGTTCTCATTTCCTGTCTGATATACTTTATTATACAGTTCTTTATTATATTTTTTAGGTAATCTGTAAATATACCAAGGTAACTTGTTTCTTGTATATTCATATTCATCTCTTCTATGATCTGGTGGTGAATTTTTAACAATCTAGAATTCCTCTCCAGTGCCAGCAATCTTCCTTTTCCTATTGGCTTCAATTCATAATTGCTGCTTCAAAGTGTAATTTACGGAATAGAGTATCTTGGATTCTTCTGAATTTTAGTATTTTTTTTTTTTGGCCTTTTTTCCTGCAGAATATACTACTGAAAACCCCAAGATTATTACAAAATGTTCTCACCATTTCCATCTTGGTTGTATATATGAATGGATGGAAAGAAGTGATAATTGTCCAGTTTGCGGCAAGGTATGTCTGATCCTTCCTTTATAATGCTTATGTCTCATTATTTCTTTTGAACTTATAGCTTGTTTTGATAATAGTACTTGACAAGACTCTACATTTGTATGAACGAGATTTTAACTTCTCAGTACCATGTCTTGTTCTGTCCAATACTATGTGACAAACACGCACTTACTGAGTTAGAAGAATGTCTTGTGAAGTACGACTTTCTCTCCGATAAGTGCTGCCCAGTTAATTTTCCTGCTGCCCCTGTCCATCCCCTATTCTTGAATTTCCATGGTCTGTTCCCATTGCTTGTGTTGTGGGAAACCAAACTTATCGTTAACCGCAAAGTCACATTTAGATCAACTTGAAGATAATTAGTAGCATAATATTAGACATAGAATTCGATCAATCTAACTAGAGCAAGCCCTCTGGAAATTATGCTAGTTGAGATGGAAAATTCCATTAGTAATTTTTTATATACAATAGATTGAATTGTCTATCATTTATTATAGACAAATGAAAACTGTTGTTAATATTCTTGTTCATCCACTTGAAGAATTCAAAATAATATTTTGGTTGAATTTGAAAATTCGCTTAAGTTAGCGGTTTATAGTGAGTGGACTCTTATTATCTGCATACCCGGAAGGGGTTGCTCTGCTTAAAAAATTAACATTTCATCCCAAGTCAGGTGTTGCCTTATCGACAAAAAACTCGGAATCTTCTCTTATGTTCTGTTGATCGAACTCCCAGAAATTTCCTCGGCAGAAGAGGAAACACTGTTGACAGATATTCCTTGCTCTGACAATCACTTATTACGGCTGCATTTAATTTGCCTTTTTTCCACGAAAAATCCTCCATGGCAAGAGTTTTTTTTTTCCTTTTTAGATATGGTTTATAGAAGGGTTTACGAATTCTTCGAAGCTATCTTTTCTTTCTTTGTTAACTCGAGAAACGATGATAAAACATAAACCTTATTATTAATTTTAATGAAAACATATGCATTATTATTAATTGTGTTTTTCTTGGCTTTCTAGGTGATGGCATTTGACGAGACTTGATCTATACTGAAAATTCTACTCACAGAGAAACCAACCACAAACAGAAAGGGAAAGAGACATCAGAATCTGAAAGTGTAAAGCCATTGTGAATACCGCATTCTTAAAAGTGTTGACTTCTTATGACAACATTATTAGATATAACCTTTGAGTTTCGACTCAGTTCATTGCGATTTTCTTCCAAATGCTTTGCCATTTCGTGTTGTTCTTTGCTCAAGCTACAAGTTTTTAGCTGTAGTTCTCTTCAACGAGGAGAAATCGACCTTAAATGCATTCACAGGCTTGTCTGAATTTCACGCAAATAATTCCAGCTCTTTTTCAAAAGGTTAAACCCTAACCTTAAGGGTCCCCCACCACCCCTGCCCTGGAGCATTGTGAGGGAGGTAAATCGCAGGTTATGCCTCCAAGGGTACAGGGTGGAAGGCTGCTTGTACACTTGCACTTACCCAAGAGCCAAATTCATATTTCAGGATTTGAACCCTTGACGCAGCAGCCTCAAGCAAAGTTGGATTTCTCCACCCTCCCTTTTTACCACTTGGAAATGTGCCCTGGGGGCGCTCTTTTTCGATCTTATGTACAATGTATTTGTACAGTGTCAAAAGGTTCGTGCACATGGGTAGTTGAAAATTGAAATAATCTGTTTATACAAAGTTTTTTTACGAAGTTAGTTTATAAACTAAGTGTTGGTAAAATTTAAACCATTGATTTGAAAAACTGTTTTTGAAATAATCGGTCCAAATGTTGCTAACATATAGTTTGATTTAAATCAAGTTTGTCAACTACTTGTATGAATAGTAGGATTCTGAAAAATTTGCCCATGGGATGGGCTTGTGCTTCTCCCATACAAAAAAATAAACAAAATAAATAAATAAATCATAGTCGAGCAAAGTTAAGTCTTGAGTCTCTTTCGAGATAGGTTAGCTCGACCCAATTGATAGGAGTTGCGATGGATAGTTTATGCTTCATCTTTCGAGCATGTTTAAGATGTTTAAGCGTAAAAAATTTGAAACAACTTTTTAACAAATATGTCAAGTTTCTCTTTACTAAAGAGTTTGATTCAACAGTATAAACTTTCATACAAAGGCTATTAATAGCCACTTATTTTCTTGGGAAAATGGAAAACAAATTCCAATTTTCACTTTTGGCCTGTTTGATTGGTAAAATTTTTCAAGAAATTTGTTTTCCACCTCGTCAGCATTTTCTAGTTTTTTCTTGAATTCGAATTCTCACCATATTGGTGAGAATCCGTTTTTCGGGTTATTGTAGCTTTTTTTTTTGTTGGCAATGGAAATAAATTCTAAGAATTATTTTAAAAAAATATTTCCCTTTAACAAATAAATTTCATGTAAAACAAAATCAAACGAACACCAAAAGATAAATGATTTTCTTGATTTTTTTTTTGGGTTGACAATTGAAACAAATTTCATCCCCAATACCAATAAATTATATCCCTTTAATCGACCATTTTCATATAAAACAAAGTCAAACGAACACTAAAAAACAATTTCATTTCAACATTTTTCACATGGAAAATTATACTAATCAAATACAATAATTTACAATTCCCAATAAAATAATTTCTAGGCAATTCAATCCCCTAAAATTCGTTTTCAATTCAATTCAATTTCATCTTTATAATCAAACGGATCCTAAGTTCTTAATAGCCCTATTTTAAACATCCACTAGAAGTAACACATTGAAACTAAATTGGACAAAATTGGATATCATATCTTGATTTCTGTATATCAAACATGCTATTAAAGAGCATTTTTAGCATCTCTTTGCTAAACATCCGAAAGGAAGAACTTACAAATAACCAATTAAATCATGATTTGATTAAAAAAGTTGTATATTACATAGCTATAATCCGGTTTTAATCCATCGTAGTCATACAAGTATACAAACCCACAAAAATAATGAGAAAAAGGAAAAGAGAGGGTCGGTTCATTTCCTTATTTTTTCGTTCTTTATAAATCATTCGCTTCAATACCAGTTCTCAACACCAAGTTAGAGCACTCGGGACAAGAAAAGTGTCCTCTACCTTGACATTTGGTGCAAGAAGAAGATCTTGGCGGTTTTGATTTTGATTTTGATTTAACCCCAAATGACGGAGAATCATCAATCACAGGAATCAAACTGAATGGCCCTCCTTCTTTAATCAATCCAGAGCCCCTGCACCCGGTGCATGCTATCCGCTTCAAGTCCCCACATTTCTTGCACATCCCCAAAGAGCTGCTTAATGCATTAGAACGTAGAGATGAGATCTGCTGTCCATTTTTGTTTAAAACAATTTATAGATTAGCTTCACCAGCAGGTGAGTTTTTTAGGGTAAATTCCTACCGCCACCTAGTGTCAATCACAGAACTATACTTCAATTTTATATAATCGAATAACAGCACGTTGATTTGTTTTTAATTGGGCAATTCTACTTTGATTTAATATCAATTGAAGTAACTTTGCCCAATTCCATAGTAGAAATTGACGACGTGATAGTCAATAAATAATGGTGTATCACACATAAACGTTAGTTGACGACAATGATTTTATGACTGTCATGTCATTGATTCTACTGAACAAAAGGAGATATCCGACAGGAAACAAATTAAAGTGCAGTGACTCGATTGAACAAAATTAATGCCCCATTTGAATCCCATTAAATTAAATTTTATTTTTCTCTAGCCTATTTTCGATTACACAATCTAATTTAAAATAATATTACACACAAATCGAAAACATTATATTCTTTTTCAACCAATCATTCTGGAGAAAAAAAAAAACACTTTTTTACCCATTTTATAATTTATAAAATTTATCTATATTTATCTAGCTATCAAAAACTTGACTGAATTATGAAAGCTTGGTGTGAGGAAATCATTTGTTTCCGTAAAGTTCCGAGGTAAGATAGTCTCTTTCATTTTACATATGCCATCTATAAATGGTATCTAAATAAGGCGGGTAAATTGTGACTTTCTGTGGATCTAAAGAAGGGACAAATGATCAATCTGATACTTAATCAATTACTTACCAGAAATCGGGAAAATGAAAAGAAAAAGTTACCTGCGCTGGGAAGAAGAAATGAAGGAGTCAATTTTTGGGGCAGAAATGGTAGCGGAAAGCAGAAGAGCTCCTACCGTATATCCTGCTATTTCATTTGCCGTTATGTGTTCAAACATTTTTCTATCTTCTTCTTCGTCCCCTGCACTCACTTCTAGCCACTTATCCATTTCTGCCCCTCGGATTCTTGTATTATACGTTATCCATGGAACAATAAATTAGATATTATGAAATTACAATTACAGGTATGCAACACGAAGGCCTATTAGCTCAGTTGGTTAGAGCGTCGTGCTAATAACGCGAAGGTCGCAGGTTCGAGACCTGCATGGGCCATTGTACAATTTTTTTGAATTTCCCCCCCTTTCTTTGTCGCCTTCTGGTTAATTTGCTCGGACACGCCCGCGGCCAAATCTTTAGGAAATGAACTTCTATTTATTTTTATTTTTACTTTAAAACATAATTTCAAGGTTAATGAAGAATAAAATGTTAATTTTAAAAAATTTATTTTTTAAAACTAATTTTCAACCACACATTCTCTTATAAAATAATTCTATACGTAAATCCAAAACTTTTCATTACTTTTTAATCATACATTCTTTAACTTAACATTATTTCAAAATGCATTTTGACCAAAAAAAATTGAGGCTCAAACAAGGGTTAAATTTATGCCACATTTATATTTTGATGAATAAGATGGTGTTGAATAGTTATTTTGACTATACCTATAATAAATAATGAAAAAAGAAAAAGAAAGAAATATGTAGACTCATGTTGGTCATCGAGTTCTTGTTTGAGCTCTATATCATTTAAAACTCATTTTTATCGACTCATCTTCAATACACATGCTTTCAATATATGAAATGTGAATATATTTAGCCCATGTTTGATCCCCATTTTTAGAGTAAAATGTATTTTGAAATAGTGATTTTTTGAAGAATGTGTAGTTAAAAGTAAGAATTTTTTTTTTAATTTATATGTAAAATTATTTTATTAGAAAATGTGATTGAAAATGAGTTTTAGAAAAATAAATTAAAAAAAAAAATGAGGCTCAAATGCAGATTTGTATTTTGTAAACTTTTTCTTTAGTAAAGTGAACAGATGTGACCTTATATGTGATTTGTAAGGGATCTTGTCGCATGTGCCCTCTTCTTATGAAGACTTCAACTTCTAAGCCCATGTTTGAGCTTATTATCTAAAAAATTTATTTTCTCTTAAACTTATTTTTTAATTACACATTTTTTCTAGTAAAATAATTTTGTACATAAATTTATAATTTTTCCTTACTTTTTAATCATATATTCTTCAAAAAATCACTATTACATCCCCAAAAATAGGGGTCAAACAAGCTTTAATGAATCATTGATGCAATTCTTCCCGGGGGGGTGGGGGTGGGGGGATTTACATATAAAAAAAAAAAAAAAACCTTTACCATTAAAGTGTAATCTATCATGATTTGCCCATATTTTTATGAATATAATGCATTATATTTTAAATTATCTATATAATTGTACAAGTGATAAATACTATTCCTGACATTTATTAAAAATATCTTAATTTTGCCACATTCTAAATTTATTTTAAGTTTTTAACACAAAAAGCAACTAATTATTTAATTGATGATCAAACAATTAAGTAATGCAATGTGTATACAAAATCAATCTACTCGACTCCCAGAAATATTTTTTCATACGAACCAACACACAAAACAGTAAAAACTAGATTTTTTTTACCCCTAAACTTATAACAAATACTGTCCCCAATTTCTAAAAATATAACAAGCAATATATAAAAATTAAGGACAAAGAAGGAAAATGAGTACTCCCATAGTACAATTCTGTATGTGGGGTGGGCTGAGGTAAAAGTGTTGAATCACTTACGATGTCTTTTTCCTTGTCCAATTATTCAGGTGTCATGTTCCTTCAAAATAAATAAAAATCAATCATTATGTGGAACAATCTATAATAAGTTTAAACAGATCCCAAAGGTAAATATGGGAATGAAGATATCCTATACTACTAAAAGGAATAAAAACTATTAATCCATTATCTAGAAGGAAAAATAAATGAAATGGAAGAGAATTTGAGTTGTTTCCTAAAAAGCGCTTATTTATAGTCATTAGCTTAACTTTGGTAATTAGCATCATAGAATTCTTAAGAAAGCTTTTGATACCCTGCTCAAGTTGCTTCTTTTGACTTTGATCCACATTTCGTTGATTCTCCAAATCTTTACCTCGCCTCTTTCAATATTACATGTCTTGCATATTTCATGCAATTCAAAATTAATTGTGTATACTTCTTCCTCCTCAAATTTAATCACAAATTCAATTGTTGGGTAATCGATGAAGTCCAGAGAATGTATTTTAATTTTATTTTCATTAATTGTCACTTTTTCGCTAGCTTTCTTTGTAATTAATTTGTCATCCTCTTTATGCTCTTATCCAATAATGAATATCTTTTCAAGTTGAATGGTAGTTCCTAGACAAATTCATGGGCAATGATAATTCTTTATTTTCAACATTTTCAAGGGGATTATATCTCTACTTTTTAAATTCATACCAGATTACGAAAACTCCCACCCGTATTCTACTTTCATCCAATATGCCAAGTTTATTATCATATCTTACAATTGCCTCCTCGTTTAACAAGGGAGGACCAATTTCCCAAAGTATGATGTCATCGTCCCTATGTGTAGATACATACTAGCCCTCGGGCATGTAATTTTCATCAGATTTATCAATTACTAATTTTGAAATCTTAAATATTGTTTTAAACACAAAAGCTTGAACATGAAGGGATTGGTGAATGTATACAAATATTGCCTAACATAATACATCCATTAACAAAACTCACAATTTATGTCGTCTGCTAGCATATCCTCTTCATCCATGTCGGGCTTAATTATTACAAATATTTTGTTTTCTTGATATTGTCAGAATCATACATATACTGTTGAATAGTACTTGGAAGAATACGAAGCACAAGAGAGATTAGGGTGTGTAGTCAAAATTACAAAACAAAGACAAAGAAATAAATAAATAATTTGATTCCTAAATAAACTAATAAATCGAAACTAAATACTTTATTTCCCGCTAACTAGGTCAAAAACTTGTTCGCTAAAATTTCGCAAGCTTACAAGATCGTTGACAAGTAATAGATTTAGTGAGTCAAGAGTATTATCCTGTAAGGAATAAATTTCAATTTCAATTTAAATTTATCAATTTTCATGAAATTCGAAAAATGTAACACAAGAGAGTTTTGATTTGTAATTATGCTAAAATTAATGTAAAACTAAGGTTTATATCAAATTATGAATGATCGTATTGAATTTAGAGTCCACCTACGAAAATTCTTAATTTGTAATCTAGTTTTATTCATGCGTTATTAACAATCCATAATGTTAATGTATTTAACTTTCTTTTTTAAGACAATTTAATTTTATTCTAGTCACTACCCAAATCTGTTACTAATTTGAATTCAAATGAATAAATTGCATTAGAATTTAAATTATCTATACGATTGCACATGTGATAAATGCTATTCCTAACATCTATTGTACATATTTTACTAATCTGAATTCAAATGAATAAATTGCATTAGAATTTAGATTATATATGCAATTGCACATGTGATAAATGTTATTCTTAACATCTATTACACATATGTTAATTTTGCTACATTTTAAATTTATTGGAAGTCTCACAATACTACAACAAGTAGCTAATTATCTAATACTACATTTTAAATTCATTTTCATCCAATACAAAGGTGGATCTAGCATATCATGTTTTTATATAAATTATAAAAAAAAATAATGAAAAATATATCACTTGGATCATGAAATAATACAAGAAATCTTGATCTTAATTCTGAGGTTGAATTTTTTAATATCTTGATGTAATTGGCCTTCGATTCTTACTAGGGTTTGATCTCCTCTATCAAAATATGTCAATTGGCATCTTGCTCTTGATAAATTTGATTATTAGAATGTATGGTTAGAGACTAGAGACAGTTCCCTTTAATGGCTGCTCATGTTTTGTATATATAAAAGGTGAAATTTGATCAATAAACACCTGTAAATTGAGTTCCAATCAAATAAGGAAAGTTGCGTTCGTGTTGAGCATGATTATGTCTTTATGTAATTGTCAGTATACTTTGATCCTTGAACTTTGGATTTCATCCATTTTGCCCATTTTTCGCTCATTTCTTCTGGTTCAATCAATTTGCGTCAAGTTTGTCCTAATGAAGAGAATTAACGCATAATTAGGCAATAACTCATCTAAATTAACAATAAATACCATAGTTTGATAGTCCCGATAAGTGTACTTTTAAAAGTACATGATACTTGTTTTATAAGTCGATGTTTGGTAAGTATCTATAAATAGTAGAATTTATAATAAATAGGCCCCGTTTGGTACCCATTTTTTTCAAAATACATTTTTCTCTCTCTTCTTTTCAACCACATATTCTTTATTAAAAATAATATTACACGTAAATTAAAAACTTTTTCTCATTTTTCAACCACACATTTCCCAACAATTTGCTATTCTAAAATGCATTTTTACATGAAGATGAGTCTTAAACACCCTCTAAAAGTGAGTAATTGATAATTGAATAGTACTTGTGAACCTTATTATTAAGTAAAAAAACAATTTGACTTTTCCTTAGAGTAAACAACAGCTGCAACTAAACATATTTCCTAACCTTGTAATATGTGTCACTACAGGAAATATCACATTCAACAACTATATAAATGGTCGTTGAATGTATATTTTTGGTTGTTGATCAAATTCAACGACCAAAATCAGTTGCTCGTTCGTTGGTCGGCAAAGAGGTGTTGACGATTGTATTCAACGACTAAAAATATATTTCGTCGTCAAATGTATTATTTTAGAAAGCAACTGGTCAACTAACTTAATACATCAATGCAAACAATGCCATAAAACAGGGTACTAGACAAGTAGATATGCCCAAAAAGTTTGATCCAAATCGGTTTTCATGTTCTTTAATAGTATTTTGATTCATTGCTATCATGATTTAAGTGGTACTTCACTGGAATTAAGAGGGACCAGTTTTTCCATTATTATTTGTATGTTAACATGGATTCGATCAGCCCAACCCCGCCCGAGTGAAATCCTTCAAAATGCCAGTCTTTCATTAGTATTT